CAGGGAGGAGAGGGAAATGGGAAAAAAATCAAGTTATATCATGTACAGGTACAAATTCCCTATGATGAATGTGATCAATATGTATACCTAAAATGTACAAATAAATTTAATTAATTAAAAAAAAAGAACTCGTATAGGCAAAATAAGGGAAAAAAACTTACTAGTGCTCACATATGTATTAAGAAGGCGCTCGCTCAACAGCAATGGGGATTTCACTCACCCAGTAACACGAGGCTGCGGTAGGTCTCCAGCATCACGTCCCTGTACAGGGTCCTCTGAGCATTGTCCAGAACCAGCCACTCCTCCCGTGTGAAGCTCACAAAAACATCATCAAAGGACACCAACCCCTGTAACACAACATTTCATACTCCTCAGCCCTGCTCACAACAATAGGAATCTGGCTTTCATGTACAAGATCTTTATCAGGAAAAGTACAAAACTCTGATGATCAAAATCCAAGAATTAGTAAGTGGAGAAACACTGCATATTCACAGATAGGAAGACTAAGTTTTGATGTTGAGGCAGCTGTGACACTGCTCTGCCCTGAAGCACACCAAACACTGTGAAGCAGCTGACCCATACTGGGGCTGATTCCTGATCTACAAAGTTGTGACCCATAGTAAGAATCTGTGCAAGCCAGGAAATTTTGTGGTACTTTGAAAAAGAGGAGATCATAGCAACATCTTAACAGTCAGCAGACACCACACAAAGTACCTCAATTTCAAACATTTAGTATGTAGATTTAGACTAAAACTTAGGCTCTAAAATAAATGTATTACAGGGATGTGGAACCACACCTGGCTCTGTAATTGTGAATTCAAGATGTCCAGTTCCTGAAGTGGTCATTTTTTTTTTTTTTCCCAGTACTGGCAATCGAACTCACGACCTTGCGCTTGCCAGGCAGGTGCTGTGCCGCTGAGCTAAATCCCCAACCGCTCATTTTTCATGCTTACTCCAATATAAACTACAGGGACGGTGCAAAAACAATGCTGTGACCAGTGTACTCATCCATTTTTCCTTATCCGTTGTAAAACAGGAAATATACCAGAGGAATGAAGTGCACTATTTTTAAAAAGTTTGACAGTGTGACAGACCTTTTTGAGATACAATCATACAACTGCATATGGTTAGTAAGAACTACATGTGGAAGCCTGGAATGCTGGCATGACTGGCATAGTCCCAGCTACATGAGGGTAATAGAAAAGGATCAGAATTTGAAGGCCAACCTGGGCCTTGAACTCAGCAAGACCCTGTCTCAAAATATTTTTCAAAAGGCCTACAGATAACTGAGCATGGTTGCACATACCTGCATTCCCAGTGCTCAAGGAGGCTGAAGCAGGAGGATCAACAGTACAAGCTCAGCCCAGGCAACTTGTGACCTTAGAGACTCAGGCTCAAAATAAGAAAACTTTTTTTAGAAAGGCTAGGGATATAGCTCAGTGTGAGGACCCTGGGTTCAATTCTCAGTATAGGAAAATAATAAAAATAAAAACTAACAAGAGCATCACTGACATATGTATATGTATGAATTTTGAAAATATTTGCTTGTTTTCATTCTCTTTATTGACCATCATTCAAATGTATCCCCCTAAGTCCTGAATGCTTTTTCCAATTACCTCCTGAGGATGTCACATGCTATATATCAGCACCATCCCTAAGGGACTGAACCTCATCACTGAGCAAACATGCCCTTCACGTTCTGCAAGAAATGACATCTCCAAAGTAATTTCATTGGTCCACAAGCATGATCAGCTCCTTCCCCTAGATTGGCACTGTGAAACAATAAAATAAAATGAAAAGAATGTTGAGTGGTGCACAAGTTGACACCAGATGAGATCAGACATGAGGGAGAGGGAGTCCAGAAAAATTTTCATTTTTCAGGACTGGGCCACTGGCAAGGTTTGATACTGTATGTAACAGCAGAGAGAAAGCTGTACTTCTCCTCTTGTGCTTGTTGAGGTTGAAATGTCTTTTTGGAAAGATGCATAGATGGTCCAGCAAGGAGTTAAATCCCTGGGACTTGACGTTCTGGTCTAAGGGTGAGGGAGTAAATCCAAGCTCGAGAGGAGTGCAAACCACAGAGAGCTAAATCTACCAAGGAGAAATGCAGAGTGCAAAGAATGGGGTCCAGGAAGTGCAGAGCTTGGAGGAGCTATATGAATGAGCAGAAAAACACAAAAGAATTTAAGGAAGTAAAGAAAACAGAACAAAAAAGGCTGCACAGTAACTAACGAAGAATTCCTAGGAACAGAACATGGAGAATAGCTGCAAACTATTAATGAGCTTACGAAAAACTAAGTAAGACAATACTAATCGGGTTAAAGTACAAATGAGCAGTGGGGACATCTGCCAGGAAACACCACTCTGACCAGTCTGCTGCACACACTGCATGTGTACACGTGCTGGGGCCCAGGTACAGTCAGTCCCCAAATGACCCACGGTCAGCTCAACCCTCCAGGTGCCCGAGCTCTCATCCACAATCAGTTACCACGCTGCAAAGGCTGCCTGGACACACAGCATTTCAGCAACTCCATAACAACTTGATTAAAAAAGTTCTATCTATCATCTATGTAACCACTGAAGACAATGCTTTAGCCCTTGGTATAGCAACTACGTGCCAGGACAAGTCACCGTGCTCTCTTTGGGTTCCATCCGAATCATGTGCCAAGTACATCTGTCGTTTATCATGGGTCAGAAAGAACAGAGACAAATCCGTATGCCGCATCCATGTCTCTCAAGTATTCATCTCACACCAACTGTCTCATTTATGTCCATTTTCCTAGAGCTGAGTTTTACACATTTCTACAATTTCACTTTAATTCGTGGAAACAATAAAGCTGTTAAATACAACAGAAAACAGGTTAGGAATAAACAAGCAACTCACCGGAGAGTTCTTCATTTCCTGTTCCTCCTGGAGACACACAGAGCACTCTGGATGGATAGCTGAGAGAAGATAAATGTGGGAAAGTCATGAGAACAGGCAGGCGAGCTCCCAGAGTGCCCTCCTCAAAACACTCCGTATTAGCAAAAAAAGACAGAAATACCCTCTGTAAAAGGACAATCTTTTACACAAGAAAGTGGAACAAAAGCCAGGCATGGTGGCCCACGTGTCACTCTCAACTAATTTAGAAACTGAGGCAGGAAGATCACAAGCTCCAAGCTTACCACCAGGCTGAGCTATACAGAGAGTTCAGGGACACCCTGGAGCACCTGGGGCTCAGACAGGGAAACAGTGTATTCAATGTACACCTTTGTGATGGCCCTGTTCCAGTAACGGTTCCCCATGAAGCACCTCTATGTACCCACGCCCTCTAACAGTCCCCACTGACTTGATTTGGCCAAGAGGACATCACTAAAACTAAGCTTGAAAAGAACTGGCTCACTAGTCCTTGTCTTCCTGGACACGTTACAAGAAAGCCCGGGAGCACCGCACTCCAAACATGGACCTCCCTAAGGGCAAGCACAAGCACTAGAGGGAAGTCACCCGGAACCAGCCAACCTCAGTCAAGGATGAGGTGACTGAAGGCTCACTGTGACCCCATGCATCACCAGCGTAGGAATTTCCCAGTAACTCCAGTTCAAAATCAAATGAGATGATTTTTTGTCTTAAGCCAAGAAATTTTTGCTTATGGGTTACACTGCCAAGGCTGCTATGTTTAGTCCTTAGGGACTTAGAATTCAATGTTTATAAAATATTGGGAGGTGGGAAAAATCTTCCAAACATGCCAAATACACAAAAACACCTTTAAAGTACTTAAAGTACAACAAACATTAAGGATGGACTACAGTGTAGCTACAGCTATGTGGTTCAAACAAAGCAGTGTCTGAGGATGAAAATGGTAAGGTTTTTACAATTTACCAAAAGTCTGTTTCTTATATGTGAACACTGTAAATTTTTCTTTTACATTTTATTGGTTTGAAGGAGTCTAGTTTTCCCTTTTCAAATAATTGTAAAACAGGCTACTACTGTTTTCCTCAAAAATTTATAACTTTTAAGAACAGATTACTGCTGGGCGTGGTGGTGCACGCCTGTAATCCCAGCACTCGGGAGGCTGAGGCAGGAGGATCGTTAGGAGTTCGAGGCCAGCCTGGGCTACATGGGTGAGCTCAAGGCCAGCGTGAACTGCTTAGCAAGACCCTGTCTCAAAAAGACCGGAAAAAAAAAAAAAATTACCAACATTAAATGGGAAATAACCTGCTACTAAGCCTTTCAAGTCACATAATGCGGAACAGGTACTGTAGGTCAGAAGGGACAGGTATGTCTGGGACAAGCTATTTTATTTATTTTTTACTTTAAAGAGAGTATCGCTATCCTCAACTACATTGCTCAGATTATCAGATGTAAAAATATGGAACGCTTCATGAATTTGCGTGTCACCCTTGCGCAGGGGCCATGCCAATCATCTCTGTATTGTTCCAATTTTAGTATATGTGCTGCTGAAGCTAGCACAGGACAAGCTATTTTAAAAAGACATTCTAGGCTGGGGGTTGTAGCTCAGGGGCTCAACATTTGCCTATCAGGTGTGACTACTTGGTGACTGAACCACAAAAAAGAAAGAAAGAAAGAAAGAAACCAAAACAGAACAAACACTGGCCAAATCTGAAAACAATGCTCCAGTTAAGCTGACCCCTTGTCACACAAATAATCTCAAAAATAAGCAAACCCTTCTTTTCATTGTGCAAAGTGGGGTAACATCAGCCAAGAAGTCAAGAAGCACCTGACATCTGACATCAACATATCCCATAACCTTGGAAAAGATAGTTTTAAATGCTCTGGCTAATCCTTCCAATAACAAGATAAAGGGACTGTTATAAAACATCAAGTTTGTTCACAGTTTAAGTTTAAGGGAGCAAACACTCTAGAAACAAGGGAAAATGGAAGAAATGGGTACGTTCAGAGAGCCCTGTAAAAGGTCAGCTCAGGGTCACAGCATATCCTTCCACAGCACAGCACAGCACAGCACACCACACCTTCATGGCCTTTCCTTTAACATTTCCCTCCTAGGGGCTGGGGATATAGCTCAGTGGCACAAGCGCCTGCCTGGCAAGCACAAGGTCCTGAGTTCGATTCCTGGTACCCCTCAAAAAAAAAAACAAACAAAAACCAAAACCATTTCTCTCGTACAACTCTCTCACTCTGGAAGCTAGGTTTCGTGAAAAACTTCTGTAAACTCAAACAAGAATACTACTTGGGCTACCCAGTGCAGTAAACAGAAATGACACTTGCTCAAGAGACACTAAGAAGTTCACAGATACACCGGCCACATCCCAAGACTCTATCTACACATACGCACAATTTCTCTGGGAAACTGGGGACATTCCTTAGGACTGTGTGGTACGGGTCTCTTCAGGAACAGAATCAATATGTAATATGCAAGGGGATTTACTAGGTAGGCTTACAGTGTCAGAAGTGGGGGAGACCACAGTGGCCGCCTAAGCGATGGAGAGCCAGGGCACCCAGGCAGCTACTCGGTCCACGAAGAGGGAGTCCATAGAAGGAAAGAGATCAAGGGTGCAGCACCAGCCCAAAGCTGAAGCGCTGGAAGTTCGCTGCAGAACTGCACGTGCGAGTCTGTGCAGGAAAACTCAAGAAACTGGAGATCCAGAGAGGATACCAGATGACAGCAGCAAAGGACTCACCTGCTCCACGCTGGAGCTCTTCAAAATCAGCGCGCGCCCCTCCATCCGGGCCACCAGCCTGTTGGCTGGGGCCACCCACCCCCCGGGATCGTCCTCAACCCTCAGTTTGCCGGCCCACACGGCAGGCGCAGACACACGCAGAACTGTGCTTCACTCATCCACTAGGTGTTTATGACCCATTCAAGTTCATGGCTTGCGAATACGGGGCGCAGACCGTTCATCCCCTCGTCTCACAGAGGAGGAAAGTGACCTCACAGTGCTAAGAAGCAGCTCGCGGAGGGGCGGCGCACACGCTTCGAACTCGGGCACACGCCACCCAGCTCGTGTGGTCTGCAGACGCCGCCCGCGTGGACCTCGCCGCTCGACCGTCTCCCTCGCAGCCTCTGGGGCCAGCTCTGGGCACCGCAGCACGAGCCGCCCCTGACAAGCAGTCAGGGACGCGCAGCAGAGTCGCCCCTCCCCAGCACGGGGTTCGCGGACCCCGCGCTCACGCTGCTGCCCGGCCCGCTCAGGTGGGCCCTCGGCCACGCACCGCGGGTCCTGCCGCCCGCACCCTCCCGCGTTCCCGCTGCCCGCAGCGGCCGGATACTTGGGCTCCTCAGGACTTAGGCTGGTTTCTCGTCCTCCCACCAAGCTTCAGAACCTCAGAACGCGGCCCCTCGGCCAATAAAATAGCTGTGAGGGCGGGGCAAGACTAGGAACTTCCGGTAAGAAGATGGCGATTATTGGCGGACCTAAATGGGTGCAGGAAAAGAGGGAAAGGCTGTTTCCGGTTGTTGTGACGTCATGAGTTAAACTACAGATCGCTGTAATATGATGGCTTTACCTCTTTTGGGAAGGTACCTAGAAAGGGACTACCTGGGTAGAATAGAATTTCTATTTTTAGTTTTTTGAGGAATCTCCATATTGATTTCCATAGTAGTTATACTAGTGTACATTCCCGCCAAAGATGTAGAGATTCCTTTCCCCTGCAGCATCGCCAGAATTTGTTATTATTTGATTTCTTGATGATGGCCATTCTTTATGGAGTAAAGTGGAATCTTCAGTGTTATATTAATTTGCATTGCAGAAATTAATTGTTTAAGATTGTCAATGAATCATAAGTAATTCCCAAACAATTCTCTCAATAAAAAACATGATAAACTAGGAAGTATATTTTAAAAATATTCTTAATGAAAAATAGCAAAGTGCAGAGAATTTAGAATTCTGTACAAAACTAGAGACATTTAAGAAAACTTCAGGGCCAAGAGAACCCTATTACATAAAACTGGAAACCTAGAGATAATAGGTGATTTCCTAGTAAAAACACACATTAACAAAATAGACCCTGAAATAAGGAAAATACAGATAAGCCAGGTAACACAGAAAAACTTGGAATGAAGCCAGAGGCTGAGGGTGCAGGTCTGCTCTCCCACCTACTGGGGAACCTGAAGAAGGCAGAGCACGAGTTCAGTGCGCAGCCTAGGAAACAGAACACTGCTCAAAATAAAGTAAGGAAAGAGCTGGGGATGTAGCTCAGTGAGAGAGTAGACTGACTTCAAGGCCATTACTGGGGAGAATGAAAGAAGGAAAGTAACAGAAGGTTGGATTGAGGCTTAGATCTCTCTTCATAGAATAAACCCAAGGACACACAGGTTCACAGCTCAATGGTAACTGACCTTTAACAAATTCTAATTTTTAACATGGATGTGGTGGTGCATGCCTATAATCTCAGCACTTGGGAAGCTGAGGCAGGAGGATTGCCATGAATTCAAGGCCAGGTTGGATACATAGTGAGTCCAAGGCCAGTCTGAACTACAAAGACCTTGTCTCAATACTCCCCGCAAAAAACCATATATATATATGTGTGTGTATGTGTGTGTATATATATATATATATATATATATATATATAATTTTTTTAAATGGTCAAAGCTTAGAATACAAGGGGTACCATCTTTCCACTAATTGTATGATACAAAATTAAAACTTGATACAGTGAATGTTTTTCATCTAATTCAGGATGTCAACGTTTGTAAAACAAGTTGTATAACATAATACACGGCCAAAAATGGTCATGACTCAGGAAGTTGAGGTAGAAGGATCTCAAGTTCAAGACCAGCTTGCATTACATACTGAGTTCAAAACTGGTCTGTAGTACATAGTGAAATTGGATCAAAAAAAACAATAAAAGCCAGGCATGGTGCCCCATACCTGTAATCCCAGCACACGACCAGGAAAGCTGAGACAAGAAGATATATCACTGCAAGTCTGAAGCCAGTCTAGGCTACATAATGAGTTCAAGGCTGCTCTGAACTACAAAGAAAAGAGACTGTCTTCAAAAACTCCTAAAAATACTGTTCTTTGAACTTTCTCAAAGCCAGGCATGGTACTATATGCCTGTAATCCCAGCACTCGGGAGGCTGAGGCAGGAGTATCAGCATGAATTGTAGGCCGGCCTGGTCTATAATAGTAAGTTCAAAGACAGCCTGAACTACACATCAAGACCCTGTCTCAAAAAAAAAGAAAGAAAAGTAAACTTAAAAAAAAAGACAAGGAAAAATGTTCATAATTTTACTTCCATTAAAGCCGCGAAATAAATTGTTAATAAACTCTGGCTTGAGGGTCAGGGATGCAGCTCAGGTAACACAGTGCCTGCCTGGCAAGCACAAGGTTCTGAGTTCAATTCCCAGTACAAAAAAAAGAGCATAAACTCTGGTTTGGGTATAAATTCAAACTTATGGTTGCAACTGTTAGTAAATCTACTTTTCAATTTTTTTTAAAGCATAATAAAATTTATTGAGGAATAAGAATGGAAAATAGAAACGGGGAATAAGAGCAGCTCCTGAGAGACAGGAAGGGTCATGAATGGGTCAGTCTATTTTTCAGTTTTTAAACATTATTTCTATAAAAAAATCGAGTTAAATAACTGTAAGTTATTGCAGGCTGATCAGGCCCGCCATCGCTCAAGCAAGTGGACGGTGAAAGCTTAAATAAATGAGACAATGGAAATGATTTTTAGGGCTCCAGGAGGGACTAAGTGTCCTACAGCTTTGATATTCTCTGAGTTTAGCCAGACTTCTCTGGGTGGTCCGTATTTATTTGGTTTTCAAACAGAGGAGGCGGATACTCAAGAAAACACGGGAATCTCGGGAATCTCGCAGAATTTTCCCAAGTAGTAAATTATGTCAATCAGGAGAACTATCTTATCTTTAGGTTGGTATTTATTGCAGGAGTGTGGAACCTGCAGCTGCAGTCTCCTTGTAGTTAATTGGGGTTGGAGCCACACGTCCTCAGCTGTGGCCTTATCTTGTCCTTTGAGTAGTCACAGCTTCACGAGCCAATACAGGCTTCAGCAGTGACCAGTGACCCATAGAGGTTTATTTACTATGAGTTAACTGCCTATCTTTAGACAAGGTGCCTAAGCTTCGGACAATTCCCAAGTAAACATGAAAAGCCAATTGGTTAATATTGAACCCTGCTCAGAGCCGCTTCATAGTGGTCTCCGTCAATTTCAGCTACGTAAGCACGACGAAAATGAGCCATGGAAGCACGGCTGAGAGCAAGCATTTAAAGCACACGCTACCCTTTCTCCTCGGCTCCAGGGAGACTCCCACGCGGCCCCTCCCCGGGGTTCCCCGGGATCATCCCAGAGCTGCGTCCCAGCGTTTCTCCTCTCTCAGAACAGGAATTTCCCCAAGAAAATAAACCCCAATCTGTACAGGAACCACAGCCTCTGGCATGCTATGATGATGCGTATGCAAAGCCACGATGAAGGGTTCCTTCACTGGTAAAATATTCAAGAAAGTAAAGCATGCAACACTTTCTTCCCAACATTAAGGGCAGGGACACGAAGTTTCTCCCAGTCTTTCCCTCCTACCACCCCCAGACGTTGGGAAGCAAGGTGGGTCAGGAAGAAAGCTCTCTGGTCCTCACCCTTGACAAAGCCTCCAAGGCTGAGCGGCACACCTGGGCTCTTGGCATGAAGCTTGTGCGCCCTCTGCCGGGCTAAAGACGCATGCTTTGGACGTTGAGTGCTGTATTTTAAGAATTGGCCTCCAGCACCCAGTGCAGTTCCTAGACTCCCTGAAACTGTCATGGGATCTACCCTTTTTCCTCCAAAGCCTTGTGAGCTCACAGGTGGGGCTTTGGGGAGGTGACCGGGTCAGCAGTGTGTGACACTGGGTTAGTGCACTGATGGGTTTATGGCTGGCTGTGATGTCAGGTGGGAAAAGGCGGGTACTGGGACATGGCCTAGAGGGCATGCCTGTATCTCCCTCCTGCCTTGACAGCTGTTGCTTTCTGCCTGCAGTGCCCCTCTGCCATGCTGCCCTGCCTTGGAACCAGCCAACTAAGAACTGAAGCCTCTACAACCTGTGAGCTACAATAAACCCTCCCTCCTTTAAGCAGTGGGTGCCAGGTCCCAGCAAGGAGAATGCGATGAAGACCTCAGCATGACCTGCACTAGGTGACTGAGTAGCCCAGACGGGCACATCCGTGCAACTGAATAGCTTCCAAGTAGAGCAAGGGGAACTAGTGCCTGGATGAAGACATGGGTGAAGCTTGACTCCACCAAGCCAGTGTGGGAAGATGAGTGGAAGGAAAAGTAAAAGGCATTAGGATGTGTTATGTACATGTAGCGTTGCCCGTTATGTGCAAGTAACAATCCCCCATGATGAATGTGATCGTTATATACTGCAAACACATACTAATAAAAGCTGAAGTTTAAAAACAGGGCTAATGAGGGAGAGTGATGGATCCTGGAAAACTGACTGACAGACGTAAATATTGCCAGGAGACTGGGTGGAGCTAGAGTGACTAAATGGCACGGTTTCCTAAGGGCTCTAACATTGCCTGTGAAGACGGTCGTACAATTCTATGGCTATATTAACAACTCTTAAATGGGTGTCATACGGTAGATGACATAATATTTTAATAAAGTAGATATTTATGTGCCAACCGGCCTGAGGAGCCTGCACACCGGCCGCATTTCGTGAGATTCTGGAAAGGGAGAAACCACAGAGTTGGTACAGATCTGTGAGGCAGGTGGTTCACAGGGCAGGGAGTGAGTTGAGCAGGGGGATGTGCTTGGTGTTGGAAGCAGGCACAAAGGACGGGGTCCAGGCTGTTTTCATGTTTATTGTCACTCCAACTGAATCTCATTTTGACAGAAACAGGGAACTCTGGGTAAAGTGCCTGGGAGGGAAGACCGCACAGGGTCCTCTGACCACAGGCAGTAGCTACACTGCACACCCGGCAGCCTCCCAGGGAGCCCCGAAGCACCTCAACTAACCCAACTCTAGGAGGGGCGGCCAGACAGCATGAAGGCCTGGGTTCCACAGCAGCACAGGCCATGCCTCTTCCTGGGAGACGATGCAGCTCTTCTACTTCCGGCCTTCCCACATTTCTGTCCCCCGCCAGCTACAGCTTCTGGAGCAGGTTATCATCCTAGATGTACTTATACACGACCTTTGAAGGCACAGTCTGGAGGTGGAGTCGCACAGGACACTTGTAAAAGTACGACAGCAAAGTCTCACTGTAGCCCACGAGGAAGTAGACCTTGTGCGCAGGCAGCTGCCTCAGCAGCAGGGCACAGATCTCTATCTGGTTGGCCTGGCGCTTCAGGACCACCTGGTCGGCCAGGCAGCCTGGGAAAGTGCCCATCATGAACTTTCGAAGGAATACATCCTCCACTGTGCGCTCCGCGGCGTGGTCCTCTCCATCCAGGTTACCTGAAGAGAAGCCGCTGGAGAAGTCAGCCCTGCTGCCCCAGGAACTGCCAAGACTCCAGCGCTCGCAGCCGAGAGCACTGGGCCCTCGGTTCCACCCCTGCCCCAGCCTTTTACTGCCCCTTTCCTTTACTCACAGAACAAGAAATAACATTTTCAAGTTCAAAGCGCATCTTTCGCGCCAGGCTGGTGGCACAGGTCTGAATGCCAGCCCCTTGGCAGGCAGAGGCAGGAAGATCACAATTGGGAGGCCATCCCTGGCCACTTAGCAAGACACTGTCTCAAAGTAAAACCTAAAGCAAGCTGGGGATGTAGCTCTGCGCTAGCGCACCTGAGTTTGATCCCCAATATAAAACAAAGAAAAATCCCCCAAATCCATTATTTTCTGAATTTCCAATCCAACCCTGTGAAGCAAGTACTATCACTGTCCTCCTTTCACAAAAGGGAAGACCGAGGCCTGAACCAGGGCACCAAATAGGTGACAGCTCCACGTTCAGCCCCTTTCCCAGTCTTTCTTCCCTGGCTCTAGAAGCACAGGTCATACTGTGAGCTAAATAGATATGCCACCAGCTACTAGCTACTCATCCATGCACTCACTCATTTTTGTGGTGTCAGGAATTGAATCCGAGAACACAGGGCTCTTCTCTTGTCCTGTTCGAGGTACTGGGGACTGAACCCAGGGGTTGGTGTACGCTATGCAAACACTCTACCACTGAGCCACATCCCCTAGAGTCTGTATTTTAGTAAGGTCTCTAGAGGTATTCACACATCCTAAGATGTGAGAACCCTTGTACTGAACATAGTACAGTTGATTTTCATTGGTTCACTGTGGTTATGTCCTATCATGCAGCCAGGACATAACCACTATCTGAACCACTGTCTCTAGGGGGAATGCAGGGTAGGCGTCCCCACGTCTTGTCACAACAGTCTCATCAACAGAGCTATAAAGCTAGTCCAGGTCCATAAGCCCTCCTGTTTAAAGACACTATATACTCGGGAGGCTGAGGCAGGAGGATCGCTGTGAGTTCGAGACCAGCCTGGGTTACAAAGAGAGCTCAAGGCCAGCCTGAACTGCATAGCGAGACCCTGTCTCAAAAAGACAAAAAAAAAACCAAAAAAACAAACCACCAAATAAATACACTACATAATATGTATCGTCAGTTCTTTTTGTTTGTTTTTTGTTTTTGTCTTTTTGAGACCGGGTCGCGCTATGCAGTTCAGGCTGGCCTTGAACTCACTTTGTAGCCCAGGCTGGTCTTGAACATGCAAAGCTCCCCCTGCCTCAGCATCCCGAGGGCTGAGATTACAAGCATGCGCCAACACACCCAGCTTAATATCATCAATTCTTTTTTTTCTTTAATATCATCAATTCTTAATACCACGCCCTCAACCAATGATACTGTAACTCACACGTGAACAGAGCTCGGAGCTCATCTAATATTTACATCCTGTAGGAGACTCATCCCAGCTTGCTGGTGCTCAGGAATGGGAGACAGTGCTTCAGAGCCATTATAAGTAGCAAATTCGCAACAAAAAACTTAAAAATCTGGCTCTAAACTGTGAAAAGGGCACAGTAGAAGAGCTTGTTCTACCTCAGGTGCTGCTCTGCCCATGTCCCTATAGGACTTTGAAAGTGCCACAGTATACTGACTTTGAGGTCACAAACAAATTTTAAATCAGTAGAAGAGCTAGAGCTCAGCCTGGGCAACTTAGCGACTTCGCCATACCATATCTCAAAATTTAAAAAAAAATATATATTTTTGGAGACAAGGTCTTTCTATGTCGTGCAGGCTGGCCTCAAACTCACGGCAATCCTCCTGTCTCAGCCTCCCGAGCGCTGGGATTACAAGTGTGCACCACCACGCCCGGCTCAAAATAAATTGTTTTAAAGGGCTGGAAATGCAGGTCAGTGAGAAGGCCTTGGGTTCAACTGCTGAAAAGAACAGGGGAAAAAAAAATGTACGGGCTGGGGATGCAGCTCAGTAGTAGATAGATCCCTTGCCTGCCATCCATGACGTCCAGTATTGCCAAAGCAGACTGGTTCTACCTACGTGTAGAGAACACTGCGCTTCAGTGGAAAACTGCAGTTTTTAGAGCACACCTGGGTTCTAAGGAGGCGTCACGTAATTATTTCTGAGCTATTTTACATCTCTGTTACAGAAAACTTCAGCAATGCAAAAATACTGTCTTTAGACATGCAAATAATTTGGTGGAGCTTCAATTAGTTCCTGGTCCCGAAGGGAAGTCAGTTTTGCATTCACCTGCAAATTCCAGCGTCCTTCTTTTGTTACCACTCCTCCGTACAGCTTAACGTTTTCGATCCCCGCCTTAATGCCACCTTCCTCCGCCCCGGGTCCGCGACTGAGCCCTCACCTGTGTGCAGCGACAGCCAGCCCTTCCTGTGAGCAATGTAGTGCGGGCCGTGCGCCTCCTCGTAGGTCACCGGCTTGTCCCCTTTGCCCACGCGCACTCGGGCCGCCCGGTTCTAGGAGCAAAGGCGCCGTCACCCCGCAGGCCCGGCCCCGCACGCCCTGCACGCCCCGCTCCGGGCAGCGCTCACCTTGGCGAGGACAGCAGAGGTGTGCAAGGTGCAACAGGGTCCAAGCAGCTCCCGGCTCGAGAAGAGCACCTGCGGGGGATGGGGCGTGAGATAGAAGCCCGAAGCCCACTCCGACCCCGTCCTGGCCGCCGCGCCCCGACTCACACGCCACGCCAGCACCCGGCTGCACACGGACGCCATCTTGGCTCGGGAGAGGGCGGAGCCAAACCGAGCCTGCGGGGACTAAACCTCAGAGGGCGGGGCGGGGTTTCTCGTGAGGGGCGGAGTCTCTGATGGAGAGGCGGGGCCCAAGAAAGGAATGACGCTTCGGGGGCGGGGCCTCAGAAGGATCTTTGGCGTGAAGGGCGAGACAGCGGGCGGGGCGGGGCGGGGCTTTTTCCGGCTGGACTGTGTCCCGCCCTCGCGGGTCCCCGAGGCCGTCAGACAGGTGGTGAACGTTGCGGGTATCCGTTATCCATTAGCAGTAATCCGCCTCGGGTAAACCTCACTGGTTACCTTACTGGGCATCCGTTATCAAACCCGGAAGTCCGATGAGCCGAATCGTGAGCTTTCGTCCTCCAGGAGCGCGTGTTGGGAGAGCGCCGCGTCCCGCTGCGGGGCGCCGGGGGGTGGGGGGGAAAGGGCCCCTTACCTCAAATGCCCGCGGAAGGGACGCCTGTTTCCCTAGACCCTGGAAATTCAGCTTCCGAGCTCCGCCTCCTAATATTCAAACTGCACGGGGAAGAGCGGGGGAACCCTCCGGGCTTTGGGGCGCAAATGAAGACGAAAACTGCTTTAGTTAAAACTTTACCCAATTCTCCCCTATGAGTTACAGAGACGGGGTGGGGCCCTCCGAAGGGAAACCTTCAGTAGCAGTGAAATTCATGAGGACGTGGCAGGGCCAGGGACATTCACGGCAGAGTGGTGGCAGTGTAATTGATATCCAGTAATTAGGAATGTCAAGGGGGAAACAGCAACACTGGATACGTGGGGCGTGGTGTCCAGAGTGTCTGTCTGTCGCTCTCTCGCGCCCTCTCTCTCCCTTGCTCTCGCCCTTGCTCTCTCGTGCTCGCTCGCTCGCTCTCTTTCCTTTAGCGTTACTAGGGATTGAACCCAGGGCCCATGATGCTAAGCAAGGGTCTAGAACTGAGCTACATCCCCAACCCATTTTTATTTTGAGACAAGGTCTTACTAAACTGCTAAATTGTCAAGGCTGGGCTCAAACTTTCAATCCCTCTGGATTGAGTGCTGGGATTACAGGTGTGCACCACCAAACCTGGGTACTTTGTTCAGCTGAACCTCTAAAATGGGCTTATTAATAACGTGGACTTCAGGCATGGCATAGTGGTGCATGCCTATAATCTCAGCATTTGGGAGGCTGAGACAGGAGAATCACCATGGGTTCAAGGCCTGCCTAGGCTACACAGTGAATTCAAGGCCAACCTGGACTACATAGTAAGACTCTGATTCAAAAATATGTAATAATAATAATAATAATTGTACAATTTAAGAGAGCTATTAGGATCAAGAGAGTACAATATTCACTAAATGATAGCTGCTCTTAGTTGCATTAGGTTGAATCAGGTGAAGTTGCCAATATTTGGCTGACGGAACCTGCAAGGTTCATGCCAATGGCACTTGCACCCCACTGTGGTCTCCCAGGACATGGGTGGGGATTTGATGATCACCAAGACAGGGAAGTGCATGCAAAAGTAAGCAAAGTGTTGCCCATGATCACATGGACAGAGGCAGAGAGCCCGCAAGACTGGAAGTGTCTTCGCTTCAGCCTGGCCCATTTCCATGGCCACAGTTCCTCTGACCATTTGAATCTGGGTTGTCAAAAAGTCCTTAGTAAAAGGACAGGGTCTTTCATCCCCACCTCACTAGCGTTATTTTTAATTTTTCAAACTGCACCTCTGTTTTGAACATTAGCCAAGGAACACATGGTGTAGTGATCTCCAGAATCCACAATTCCCTGTAAATGTGCAGTAGGAACTTTCAATTTGTCCGAAAGGATCCTCTTAAATGGACAATATTTGCTTTTGTTTCTGTTTTTGTTTTTGAGATATGGTCTTGCCAGTCTTGAACTCACTATGTAGACAAGGCTGACCTGAATTCTTGATCCTCCTGTCTCAGCTTCCCAAGTGTTGGAATTACAGCACTAAATTCTCATAGAGTTCCAGGTTCTCATGATGTTTAACAGTTTGATAAATTATACAAATCAGCTCCAGTGTGGTGAGGAACATGCGATCTGGCATCTGAACTTCCCAGATTCAAATCCTGGACTCACTGCCTGGCTGAGAAATGTGGGCAATGACTAAACCCCCTGAGCCCAGGTTCCTCCTTCTGTTAAAAAAAAAAAAAAGAGGACAAGAATGGTAGCTGTGGGCTGGGAGTATCACTCAGCGGCAGAGTGCATCCCTAGTATGTGTAAGGCATTAGGTTTGCCTCCCAGCACCACCAAAAAGAACAAAAAACAAGATTGTGAAATCATGTTGTAAAATGCCTGGCAGAGTGAGCAGTTAAGTGTTTTTTGGCTCTTGTTTTTTTAAAAAGTCCTGTACTAGGCAGGATGGTATATACCTGTAATCCCAGCTACATGGAGGCTGAGGTAGGACAATCAAAAGTTGTGGGCTACCCTGGGCAATTTAGCAAGACTGTACCTCAAAAATGCAAAGTAAAAAAGGGCAGTAGATGTCATTCAGTGGTAGACCACTTGCCTAGCATGTGCAAGCCCCTGAGTTTAATCTCTAATACCCAATACTGGAAAAAAAAAAAAAAAAAAAAAAAGAGAGAGAGAGAGAAGGAGAGAGTCTGATAGCTACACATTGTCTTAGGAAAGGGCAAGGGAGAAAAAGAAATAAGCGGTTGGGCATGGTGGCACACACCTGTAGTCCCAGCACTCTGGGAGGCTGAGGCAAGGGGATCACCACAAATTCAACTACATAGTAAGACCCAGTCCAAAAATAAAACGACAACAAAAAAACAGATCCTTTGCTTGAGTCCTCAATTACACAAAAGTGCCGGTGATGTAGCTCAGTGGCGCAAGCACCTGCCTTGCAAGCGCAAGGTCCAGAGTTTGATTCTCGGTACCAAAAACAAGCAAACAAAGGTGAAGCTGACCAAGGCACAGACACCTACTGGGCCACAGTGTAGGTGGCAGTAGTATGACAGGGAATTGGGATGTTTTTCCTAAAAGCACTGACTCTTCATTTGGGCCTACATGTGCCCAGTGGGGAACTACAAGTAGGGTAAAGCCTGGCATTTTCATTTTATTTCGATTTAAAATTTATTTTAAGGGAGTTGGTGCAAAAGGAGAGGAGCACACGGGAACCCAGTGACATGGCCAGGGCCTTGGCTCTGGCCTGGGGAAGAAGGGTGGAGAAAAAACAGGGTGGGAGCTGGATGGAGAGGGAAGCAGGAGACACTACGGTCGCTCCCTACCCAGGAAGCAGCTCCTGTCCCTGAACCCCTCCTCTGTGCTGCCTCCCTAAGACTCCATCTCTTGTTCTACATCTGGCCCTAGCAGCTCCTCCTTCTGATCCCCTTGACTACTCCCCTCCCGAGGGATTCTCAAGTAGGGAGGCGTTTAGGTCCTGACCCCAGAGACCTTCCCTTATGAAAGTACAACCCCCACCTCCCCGCTTTGCCCCTTCACACAGCTGGCCCTCTCTGGGACAGAATCTTTTATGTCCCTCCTTTCCTGTCCCGCCTCCCCCTGGGAAACAAAACAAAATAAAGGGCCAGGGATATAGCTCAATGGCACAAGCGCCTGCCTGGCAAGTATAAGGTCCTGAGTTCGATTCCCTGTACCAAAAAACAAAACCAAACCAAAAACAACATAAAATGAAGCAAGCACTAGCTCCCCAGGGCAGGGCAGCAGACAGGAGGGGGAGAGGACAAGGACTGAAAGGAGGAGAGCAAGCTCCACCGGAGGAAAGGCTCACAAATCCCTGGTGTTAGGAAAAAGCAAAAGAAGAAACTGAGGCGCAAGCTCAACAGGACAGGTTTATTTCGGAACAAGTCTGAGAGGGATGCTCTGGCACTAGAGACCAGCCAGCTGCTCTTCCCAGCTGCTCTTCCACAGGCGAGGGGTCTTTTGTAGGTCCAGGGGAGGGGGTGTTCTGTGGGAGGAGGTTGTGGGTCCCCGCCCAGAACAGGTCTTGAGGGAGCACAGGGTGATGGCTGTCCAAGGATGACGCTTGGGAAAGCAGAGTTAATGGCTATGATCTTTTTTTTTTTTTTTTTTGAGACAGGGTCTCACCATGTAGTCCAGGCTGGCCTTGAACACACTAAAGAGGCCTCCTGACCTTGACTTTATGGCGGTCCTCCTGCCTCAACCTTCCAAGTGCTGGGACTACAGGCGTGTACCACCACACCTGGCCATGGCTATTATCAATAGCAGGACTACTAATACAGCCAGCAACTGAGACTTCCTTCCCCAGGTTCTCAGAACTGGGCAATATCTGGAATATAAACAAGCCTGGATTAGAAGACAATTAGGGATGACTGGAGCTGGGAAGGGGGTCCCCAGAAGAAGTGGGGAGGGGAAGTATAAAGGATCAAGATGCCGGGTGTGGTGGCGCACACCTGTAATCCCAGAACTCAGGAGGCTGAGGCAGGAGGACCATTGTGAGTTCGAGACCAGCCTGGGCTACAAAGTGAGCTCAAGGCCAGCCTGAACTGCATAGTGAGACCTTGTCTCAAAAAGAGCAAAAATAAATAAATAAAGGGCCAAGATGCGATGTGTGTATGTACCAATCAATACCCTACAATGAATATATTATGATGTGTCACAAACATATACTAATAACTAATATTGCAAGACAAGCCATGGTAGCACATGCCTATAATCCCAGCACTCAGGAGGCTTAAACTTAAAACAAGTTTAAGGCCAGCCTGAGCTACATACTGAGACCCTGTCTCAAAATATCTAAATGAATAAATATGGTAAGACAGGAAACGAGAGGAGCACAGAAAGGGCCTGGACCCTCTCGTGTGGTGTGGGAATAAGGGACTCTAGAGACGTGCCCCCCCACAGCAGGCCAGGCAGGGGTGGGTGCTGAGGACACCTCAGGATGCCATGGGTTCCAGGGTGTGGCTCTGGGGGGGAAATCATGTAGCGCGGTAGAAAAGCAGGATTAAGGTCAGTTTGGCTCTCTTCTGCAGTCCGACTCATCAGTGCTCATAAAGCTGCTCTCTGATGTAATTTTGGTGGCCTCAGAAGGACTCAGATTAGGTTTATGGGCAGATAACTTTATTACTGACTCTAAAAAAGGGGGAAAACATTTTTCTTTCCTGGGCTGATTCACTATGGTGAGGAGCTGGAGTGGCTCTGAGTCAGGGTTATATTGGTACAAACTGCCCAACGCCAGCCCTGCTTGGCACTGCAGGTCAGCAAATCTAAGACAATGTCACTTAGAAGAGGCTGTTCTATATTACTATTTTTTTTTTCTTTTTTTGTCTTTTTGAGACAAGGTCTTGATATGCAGTTCAGGCTGGCCTTGAGCTCACTTTGTAGCCCAGGCTGATCTTGAACTCCCAACGATTCTCCTGCCTCAGCCTCCTGAGTGCTGGGATTACAGGTGTGCGCCACCACGCCTTGCTGTTTTATATACTATTAAGGAAGAAAGATGCTTAATTTGAAGATATATTGGTTATGAGATGGACGGCGATTTGGCATTGGGGATGAGGTGCTGAGCACCTCGTCTTGTGCACACGGCACCCTCTGCACCTCAGAGTGGGCACTGTGAGTGGTGTAAGGCTCAGAGAAGCTGAGCAACCTTGCTCAAGAGCCATGTACCGAGGAGGAAGCAAAGCCGAGGCTCAGACCAGGCTGGTGTCCAGCAAGCATGGCCCATCTTGAGAGACAGCGCAGACACTGCTTGTTCCTTGTTTCTCTCAGGCCTGCTTCCTCCAGAATGGGACTTGCTGCCCCATGCTTTCCTTGGTCACAGGGTCACTCTCTAAGCAGCCTGCTGCTTTGCATTTGCTTCTAAGTGGCTCTCTCATGGCTACACTTGGCTGTAAGATGGGATCAACCTGCAGCCCCATGGCAAGATCCAGGCCTCTCAAATACTAAACAAGTCTTCAGGTGAGGTGCAGAAGAGGCTTTTGGCTGTGCTGAACATCCTGAACTGGGCAAGGCACACTGGAGCTGTGTTTTGAGGTCCAGGGATGTCAGGCAAATCCTGAGGGTAAGTCTGAAGAACAGGTCTGACTTGAGGGTCTAAAGGCAACTTCCTTTTAAGCTTGAAACATCAGCCCTTCAAAAAGGGCAAAGGACAGCCGGGCATGGTGGTGCACACCTGTAATCCCAGCACTCGGGAGGCTGAGTCAGGAGGATTGTTGTGAGTTTGAGACCAGTCTGGGCTACAAACTGAGCTCAAGGCCAGCCTGAACTGCATAGCGAGACCCTGTCTCAAAAAAAGAAAAAAAAGAAAGGGCAAAGGTGGCAGGGGTGGTGGTGCATGCCTGTAATCCCAGCATTTCAGAAGCTGAAGTAGGAGGATCGTTGCAAGTTCGAGACCAGCTTGGGCTACAAAGTGAGCTCAAGCCCAGTCTGAACTCCATAGCGAGACCCTGTCTCAAAAAGACCAAAAAAAAAAAAGGGCAAAGGGAACATGCAGATGACTTCCGGGAAAATCACTCAGCTGAGTGACCTCTCTCTTCTTGCATCTGAGTGTGGTCTCTCATTCAACCAAGCAGCTCGAATTCTTCACAGTCATCCTGCCCAAGGCGGCCCCCAGCAACCTCTCTTGATCATATCTAACTATGGTCTCTTTTTTTTTTTTTGAGACAGGGTCTCACTATGCAGTTCAAGCTGGCCTTGAACTCACAAGGATCCTCCTGCCTCAGCCACCCGAGTGCTGGGATACCACTCCTGGCCTAACTATGATCTTTAGACTGCCCCATTTTCAAGTTTAAGTATTTGAGGCAATTGTCTGGAGGTCCTGGGGATGTAAGAATAACTTTCCCGATTACTAAGCAGTTACTACAATTTCTTTTAAATCTCACATCCCTTTGCAACTCTAATGAAAGCTATGAATTCTTTCCTCCCCCCAAAATGTACATTCCTAACACTCAAGAATTCAGACTGAACTTTATTCTTGGACAAGGGAGAGACTCGACATAAAGACTTGATTTGTAGGGAGCCACTAGGGCTGTCTTCACTGTCTCACATTTTAAGAATAGCTTGAATCAATTTTTAAGGGAATTAGTTAATATCCAGCAGTTCTAGGAGGAGTTTCCAGTGCCTGGGACACAGGAATGTGCTGAGTGGAATTTCTGCAGAGCTGGAGAAGCTCTGGGGCTCCCATGAAGCTTCTGTGTTTCTCATGGGAGGAGAAAAACCAGGAAACATTTTGGTATTTCCAACTGAACCAACATCTTGTCACTTGCTATTTTTAATCATCTATGGAATGCCAGACGTGGTGGCACATGCCTGTAATCCCAGCACTTGGGAGGCTGAGGCAGGAGTATCATTGCAAGTTCAAGACCAGCCTGCGCTACAAAGTGAGCTCAAGGCCAGCCTGAACTGCATA